TCAGTTGTTGGTGCCTCAGTTGTTGGTGCCTCAGTTGTTGGTGCCTCGGTGGCCTCAGGAGTTGCGTCTTCTGTTGGGGGGATGTTGGTAGAGTCCACTTCAGTCACTGGTTCCTCTGTGGCATCTGGGGTCATATCTTCTGGCTTCTCCGTGGTGGGAGGGTCTTCTTCAGTCACTGGTTCCTCGGTGGCCTCTGGGGTTGTGTCCTGTTCCTTTGGGGTGGTGGGCGGCTCTGTCTGGGTAGTCGGAGGATCTGTGGCTGCAGGGGTTGTCTCTGCTGGTTCTGTAGTTGGAGCAGGAGTGGTCTCTGGGTTTTCCAGTCCAGTGCCAGGATCTATAAGACAAATACAAACGAGTTTCAGCCTTTGGCATTGCTGTGCATGTGGCTGTGGTGTATAAATCTATTGCACATCTGGGCAATAGGTAGTATTATCGAATAACTGTATTTTTTTAGAAGGGCAAAACTCCCCTGGGCCGGGTTCCATGTGAGTCCCTATGGTCCCTGGGGGACTGTGCAGCAGCCTGGCTCAGTTGAATTCATCCCTTTGCTAAGCTGTCACTGCCCCAGGGGCCACGCTGCAGGGTTTGGTTTGGTGCTTGTAGCTGAGGCTGCCTGGTGGTTCCTGCCTTTTCCATGCTGTGAAATACAGTTCTTCTAGCAAGGCACTGCCCTTCTCAGTCTGTTATTTTAATTTATTCCACTGTCCTTCAATATAACTTTACACTGATGAGCTGAACTTGGAGGAGAGAGGTCGGGAAACAGGAGGAAAATAATTCCTGAATACAGAGCCCTGACTGTATCTCCTACTGTATCTTTATATCTTGGATGGTTTTCCTCTTTGTGATTTATGACTTTAAGATTCTCTTTACTTGTATATATAGTTACATTGACTTGGGTCAAATTATTTATGTTCAGCAAAAAGGAACAGTAAATGTTTCTGCATTTCAATCTTCAAGTATTCTCTCTCTGAAGTTTTGCTGTTTAGCTCTGTTTTCACACGGGTTTTGTGTTTAGTATGAGTAGAGCATTACAGAATAGGTTTTACTCCCACCCAGCAAATCTGAAATACCATAAGCCAACTGGCATTCTGCTAATGGTTATTTGAATTTCCTTAATTTTCTTGCATTTAACCCAGTATATTGATCTTTTTTTTAGTAGGAAATTGCAACAGCAGAAGCATAAGTACTCCAAATTTAAAACAATTAAAAAAACAAAAGGGAGTGTGTGTTAAAATATTGACCAGCCAGTACTGACTTCTAGTCTCATTTCATTCTTGTTACTTTAGGTTTCAAGTTCAAACTGATCTCCTGAGTTATCACTTCAAGTGCTGAAACACAATACCAAAGAACACAGCAAAGCAACATATTTTCCAGTCAGAAAAAAACAAATCAAGCGTTCTCTGACGTTGCATAAGGCCTGGCTTGATTAAAGCTAGAGAAACCTGCTAGGACATTTTCCTGCCTTGGTCCTGACAGTTCATCACTGTCCCAAAATACAACACCCTTCCTGTTCCAGCCATGGACCTTGTCCAAAACTGACAATGGTCTGTTACACATTTTGGGAAGATGTGTGTGAAAATCCATCAGAGACACCGGAGACATCACCACCCTCCACCGTCTGTGCTGGGTGAACTCTCCGAAATCCTGAGGGCTCAGTGAGGTAATTAGTTTATAAACCAAGTGGTTCCAAGCTTGGTAACTGTCTGGTAATGTCTAGGATTGGCTTCCTATTTCCAGAGCAGGAAAATGGTCTTTAATGTTCCTTCAGGTAACGCCCATCCTGTTTCATCCATACACTTGCCTACCTTCCGCAGCTTCCTCTGGTGGCTTTTCCTCATCGGTGGATGACCTTTTAGATGTTGATTTGTTTTCTGGGGGCGTCTCCGGGGTTGGCTTTTCTGTGTGTACTGAAAGAGATAAATACTCTCATTAACAGATTGTTTTTTCTTTGTGGGTACTTGGTGTCAGCTGCCTAAGAAGAAAGTGATTACAAAATGTCAGTGATCATCTTCCATATAAATCCAAGTTTCTTCCTATCTGTAGGACTCTTTACACTGCTATTTATATGAAAAAGTGCAAAAATACCCTTTGGATCCCAAAGTGTTTCATCACATATGGGAGTGTTGTTTTACCCAGAAATTTGAGGTGAAGCATTCTTGGCTAATGGCAATTTTGAGGTGGGAAAAAGGTGAATTCTGAATGGAGTTCTACATTCTGAAAATTTGTCTTTTTTTTTTTTTTGACTACAGATGACTTGGGACTAAGTCACTATAGTGGAACTTGAAGAGTTGTCATATTAAGCAAGCATTTACTTTGATAATCCCCTAAAGATTCAGTTACATTGTAGTTCTTCAGATGTGAAAATTCTACACAAATGATCTTTTTTGAGACACATCTCAATAGAAATAGTTTTCTTGAAGGAGACAGGCATGGACCAAAGAAAAAACACAAGGTATCAGTATTAAGCTAACTTCTAGTAGGCTGAGTTTTAGGAGAAACAAGAAGTTGTGTTCAGATTTTCCAGCTCTGAAAAGTGTGTGGGGTTTCACTTGCAGCCAGTAAGAGCCAGATAACATTTTGTAATTAATTGTTGGGTCAAATTGTACAATTGGAAATGAGCTACTAGCTTAGGCTTGTAGAACTGGCTGAATTTTTTTATCCAGCCAAAGGAGTTGGTAACTGCCAGAGGTGTGTGTAATCAGCTTTTGACAAGATAAATGGGATTTTTTTGTCTCAAAGCGATGACCATGGTGTCAAAGGATTTATTTTCACAGCAAACTCAAAGCAAGGAAGGTTGGGTGTTGGACTATATCCTGAAGCTTTTATTGAGGGAGAAAAATTGTAGTTGTTGAATAAAATCATTTTGGGAGCTGAATTGGCTTTCAAAGGAGTCAGTAGTGGTGGAGGGAAATGTTTTGGTTAGTCCTCAGCTGTGCAGGTGTGTATTCAGGGGATAAGGGGCTTCTGGAGGGTAGGGAAGGTAATGGTGATATCTAGACAGATGATGTACACTTGGCTTTGCTGTACAGAACAAAATGTTGAGAGGATGCTGAAACAGCAAATCTATTCCAAGAGGTTTAGCAGGTTTCTCAGTTATTCACACATAATATAAATACTCAAATATTGAGTACAGTGGTAGGCTGGCTAGAGCTTAATAAAATACAGAAGAAACTCTCTAAGTTTAGGAACAGTTGATTAATTTTTCATTATATTTGAACTGAAGAAAAGAGAAATGATTTAATAGTCTTCTGTGAGTGTTTGGGTGTGTTAAACTCGGCAGAAAGAGGGAGACATTAAACAACTTCAAAGGCAGGAAATTCACCTCAAGACACTTCCAAGACACTCATCCTCCTCGAGACATTCAGTCAAAAATGCTGAGTACAGGCTCTATTTCAGTCTAAATTACTGTGTAACTGCATGGCAAAGCCAAGCCCCTATCCCAGTGCCTGGGGACTGGGAGTGGTGGGTGCAGTGCACCAAATGATAATCCCTAACTCTGGTTGTTTGTCACCCCGCAGGCTTTGGGAATTGGCTGCCATGGAGGTTGTCTGGTCTGTGAATGCAGTGACCCAGTGCCAGGCATATCTGCCAAGGGTGCTCACAGAAATGAATCCAGGTCTGTAGGTGGTCCTAAAAAATGTTTAAGAACATGATGAAATGAAACATGTTCATGTGTTGGTGATGGCTTCCAGTATATCTACCTGTATGTGTCCATAGTGCATCCATGCTTGAGAAATTGGCCAATTTATCTTTGAAATTAGATTTTAATATTTTTTCAGTATTTTTTTTTTTGTTATCCTTAACTTCTCATGTCTTAAGAAGCCCACAGAGTTTGTTTTCTGAGAAAGCAGAGCACCTCCACTTAAAGATCTCTTCGAAAAACACAGTAATAAAGCAGTTTCTTACCCTCTTTGCAGTGTTTGGCATAGTCTGGACAGCATTTGCCGTATCGTTCGCAGTCGGCATCACAGTCACACTGTCGTCCTCTCTCGAAGGCTTCAAAGCACCGTCCTTCACAGGAGAGTCCTGCACGAGGCAGAGCAGCAGAGTCAGGATGTTTGTCTACCTCATGCTCAACGCTGGGACCTTTCTACAGTGAAGTCGTTTGCTCTGGATGGCGTAAAGAAGAGCCCCATAAAATCAGGTGCTTGTTTTGGTCTGATCCAGGATTTGTCTGTGGAATTGCGGGGTTTGGATCAGGCCGTGCAGCCAGAACTGGGCTGTCACGTTGCAGTGTATTGAAACCATTCAAATTTGTGGTGGAATGAAACATGATCCCCGTGTTCACTTTAGCCAGGTCCCACCGTAGGAGGTTTCCATTCCCTCACCACAGAGCAGTGACCTCAAAATTATACTTAAATTCTGGGTTAGGTCTGCAAAAAGGTGTTCATGAAGGTACCACTTTGGATCAAGAGTGCTGTGTATATCAAAGCACTTCTGAAAAATAATTGGCCTAATCAGGTCACAGCCAAGTGTACCTGGTGTGTCTGGCCAGGTGTAGCTTAATTGTGGGAATGAGTTAACTAAGGTACCCAGAGTGACTAGAACTGTTTAATACAGTTCTTAAATTATTACTGCTGAAGGAGTATCTACCATGTTTTGACATGATTAATACCCACATGGGTTTAATATTTCATTATTGGTGAACTTCTGACAACTTCAGTCACTACAGTGCTTCTATTTCATATCAAATAATGACCAAATTGTTTTGGAAAGATGTGCACAGCTATTACAGACTTCAGAAAAAGTACTTTCTGTACATAAATCCCTATTGAAGTCATTGTCTCTGTGACACCCAGGGCACAAAATCATGTTTTACAATTAAATCACTATCTAGCTAAAGAGGATTACCGTGTAGGCATATTCTGAGCATCTTTTGATTACTGTAGATGTGGAGTCAGTCTGTTGATGCCACTGGGTTCATTCCACATGCACAGGTGAGAATTGTTTTTATTTTATGATGTTAGGGCAGTTTTTGTTCATAAATGGTGTCTGGCATTTCTCTAATTTGGTTAACATTGATGTCACACTAACTGGGCAGCAATCTTTAGTCAAACTGCCTGCATCCTTTCAGGATGACACCTACTGTGCTTGCCTGAACTCACTGACTTAGGGTAGAACAGGGAAGATTTTAGCCTTAAATATTTGATTAAACGTTATGTAGATGCCAGAAGACCTTTAGAATCCAACCCACAATAATAGCTTACATAATGAAGTGCCTCAGTATGTACTTTCAGCTACGAGAAATGCTGATGTTCCCTCACAAATCAAAAGGAAGATGGGGAGGACTGAAGTACAAAGTGTTTCCAGTGTGTGTCAGGGCAGCAGAAGTGGAATTTTAGGGAGCGCTGTGTCTGCATTTTGAACAAAACTCGACCCGTGTTGCTGGATCTGAGAAGTCTTATGTCACCCTGTAATCCTACTGGAACTACAGTGTAATGTAACAAACTGTAGTTATCCAAATAACTGATATTTCTGACATTGGTGCTTCCCAAGAAAATGGTTTTTAACTCTCAATAAACAATACCTGTCTTTATTTACACTGTATGGTTTTGTAAATATATAAAGCATAAAATAATACTTATCCAACCATCTTTTCCTGCAAACTCCATACAAGGTTCTGATCCAGAGTCAATTTCTGTCCATGGAAGGACACCCTCTGGCTTTGGGTTAGACCCTACAGCATCTGTACTTCTTAAATTTGAGTTGGAATGTGCCAGAATTTCTCCCTGCAAAATCCTGAATTTGCTTTTAACCACCTTTTTTTTTTTTTTAATAAGACAGACAGATACAGTACAAATGCACGAAGGAACAAAAAACAAGCAGTAAACTGTTTCACCCCCTCTTGCCTAACTCTGCCGTTGTAAAAAGCAAAATCCTTTGCTTGGGAGTAACCTGTGGATACGCAATTTTCTTGGGATTGCGAGAGGTTATCCCAGAGTTTTTGAGGGGGAGAACAACACAAGTATGAGAGGGAACAAGGACACAGAGAACTAACAAACATTGAAGCATTCAGAGAGGAGACCTGGTGCGGTGGGGAGCTGGGAGGGGGATTTTGTGGAGAGGAACTGGCTGTGTTTGGGAACTTACCCACTGTGCAGACTTTCCTGAAGTCAGGGCAGCACTCCATGTAGTGGTGACAGTTAAAATCACACTGGCAGTCATGCTCTCTAGAATACCCTGCCCCACATCTCCCTGTACAGCTCGACACATCTAAAATCACACAACACTGGTGTAAGCATTGCCAAACCACAGTGGGGCCTAAGGGAACGCTGGGCCGCAAAGGAGTAAAGCCTCTCTTTTTCCCCTACAGAATGTGCTTTCTTCCCTCGGTATTGCAGGAACTGAGGGCCTGGTGTGCCCCCTCCTGGAGGTGTGTGGAGCAGAGGTTTGCTCTGAGCCAGCCTGTGGACCAGCAGGAGCATGTGTTCAGGTTAGAGGGGGGTTCCCCTGGGGCTGACTTACTCTGTTTCTCCTGAAAATTAATGAATCCTTGGGGACTGGTTCTGTAGCATGGCCACAGGCATCCAAACCAGCCTGTGCAGTTTTACCTTAGGCAGCACATCAGCCAGGCACTTTGCTGCTTTGCTGACTTATTTTCCATCTTAATTCACCCTAGCTATGGTTATAGGTGTGAGTGTGCACAACTCTCCCTGGCAGACCCATTAGGGGTCTGATTTTCACTTTTGGTAACGTTCTTCCTAATAACCAAACCTAATCAGGTTAGCTTGCAAGCTGGAGAGCACTGTCATAATAAATACAAATCCCCGGAGCCATTTCTACTGGGAGTTTTGAAGTCTGCCTACCCTCTACACTCTGTTTTTTTCCTGCTGTCAGAGAAGAATTTGGTATCAACACTGAGGTTAGGAACAGCTGGGATCTAGTCTTACAGCCTTCTCCAAAGTATTGTCTGTTTGTTAATTAAGAGATTACTTATTAGCAGACTAATATAAAAGCTCATCCCACGATGGCTTTACCACCAGACTGCTGCAGTGCTGGCAAATGCTAGATGATAATATATGGTGCAGATTACAGTTGGAAAAGCAAGACATCAGGGGGTCTGCTTTCAAACTGTGAGCATTCAAGGTTGGCAGTGCTTTGCTACCTTCTACTGCCAGATATTCGCCCTGCAACTAATCCCCTTCCTGTGCAAAACCTCTGCTAACGTGACATGCTAACAGCTTCTTCTGGAAACGAAACATGCAGGGCCACAAGTGAAGAGTCCCTAAATACAAACAAAGAAGCTGAACAATCAGCAAGCTCAAACAGAGTCAAGATAATCATGTGAAACATTGAGGAACCACGAGGAAATAACAACAAATAACATGTAACACAACACCAAAGACAGTTTCTAACAGCACACACTCCACAGCTGTGTGTATGAAGGAAGACCACGGGATAACAAATAATTACATATATTGTGATTTTCAGCAAGTAGTTATAATGCTTGTTACCACTTCTTTGCAAACAGCAAAGTGGGACTAGGGAGTAACTGGAGACATTAGTGGACTGGAGTTAATGGGCCCTTAATACAGGAGTTAAAAAAAGAAGATGGACACCTTCCTTTATGATATGTGCCCTACGAATTGCACCCTTCTTCCCTTATGGAAAGAAAGTCCAAAATATTATACCTCTTCATTCACTAATTTAGTTTAGTTTATGATTTGTAAGGTACAGAGTTACTCCTAAGGAAAATGCCTGAATGGTTTAGTTTGCTGTTGGTGAGAGCCTTGATTTTTGCTGAAGCCAGTGGGAAGGCTCCCATCAATTATCAAGGGTTCAGTGTCAGCCTGCTCTGCCCAGCAGGTCACATCTGGCATCTGCTGTGCCCTGGTGAGCTGCTCACGTACACGATATTGTCCCTTCTGCTAGCAAGTAGTAATAAATTATTTTCAACCAGCAAGGAATACACAATATTATCCCCATAACAACTTGGTAGCTACCTGAGAACTGCAGAGGACTGGCCAGGCTGCAAGTTCTGCTTCTTAACAACAGTGCAACTTTAGTAAGAAACCAATTACAGAGCTTGGAGAGTAAATAAAAATCTGTATCATTAGACAAATGATTCCCAAAATTGCCTCAGTGGTGGTAATAACAGTGCATTTAATAGCAAAGCACTTAGCAAGGTATAGACATTCCTCTCCCCGAGCCTACTGAAATATTTCTGACCAACTTATGTGGATATTGTCATTTCAGATTTTCCTTGAATTATCCTGCAAATCACAGGGGCTAAAACTGTCAGTGTGAGGACAATGGGATCTATAGAACATGTCTATAGAAAAACAAACTGGTTCATATGCAGTTTGCATTCCATGTATGTTTTTATGTAATTCCTCCTAGAAGGAGGACCATGCTGCACTCAAATTTGTTTATGAAAATATTCACTGATGATAAAACTGAATCAGATTGCCTGACTGAATAAATATAAGGTTCTAGAAATTAGTATTTTTATAAGGATGCTTTTGGAGCATTCTCAGTGTGTGTCAGATATCCTAGAAACCCTCCCTTCTGCTTTGTGTGTTACAGTACCTTGAGAAGACACTTCTTGAATCAAGGACAGTGAAAGGAGCACCAGGGATATGCAAAGTATGTTCCATATGATCATTACTTTCAGGTACGACATCATTCCTGAAAAGAAATAATCTCATGTCACTATGTGCAATTCAATTAGTCCATAAATAAAAAAAAATGCAGTGCCTATCTTTTTATATAATACTAGTTTGATAAAAACATAAAATAAATAGTAAAACTGTTCAAGGCCACGTTGGTAATTTAGAATTACTCTATAAATTCTCTTGATTATTAGTTGATTAGCTGTTAAATTCTGTACTAAGACTATAAAAAAATCATTATTAACAAGTAACAGAAGTAATTTTATGCAGAATTTTATTATGTGAAGGCTGCAGTCAGTCTTTTCCTACTAACATGAGTATACCTCAGCTCAACAATTTGTAAAGTTATAATACTGATAAATATAAATCTAAAGTAAAGAAAGTACAGAACATTAGTTATTAAACAACATAATTTTATAAACCTTACTGTATTCTTGAAATATTAGTGGTCAAATATAACAAATGGAAGCATAGGCTAAAAGTAAATCTTTCAAAAGGAAAACTTTGAGTTTTCTGTTTCAGTTTTCCTTTTGAAGGAGAGCTCTGAATAGAAATCAGTGTAACACTTACCTAACAGGGAGTGTGTCTGCTCCCAGGGATGCTCCAGATGCCTTTTATATTGCTTTGTAACTGTGCTGGGGGTCACTAATTAGACAAATTAAACCCAACCGCTGATGACAGCTTATGACAGCAAACTTTCCACAGAAGTTGGAAGAGGTCCTGGATGACTGGACTAGCACAACATCTGGAAAATACTCCCATTAAGAAAAACGATTACAGAAAAAACTAAATAGGGACTTACTAGCCAAAACACATTTTGATTACCGAGTGAAGTGAACAAATTGTCCTGAATTCAGCTGGAAGGACTCAGAGCATATTGCAGAGCAATAAAAAATTATCCCAGGCCAGTGCTGAAGGTATTTTCTTTCCTGTCACACAGACCTTAGGTGACAGTAGCCTGAAATTGTGCAACTTTATCTGCTACTGCTGGTGTATCTTCTCCAAAAAACTGTGGGAGCTAATTCATACAGACAGAAGTAATTCACCAATCCTACACTGAAAATGTAGTGCTTTTCCCTGAACTGAATGGAAATGTTGCCAAGGTGTTGGCTAGAAATCAAAGAATTTAGTCAAATCTCACATTTATTGAATGTCTGACACGTAACACATCAAAAATGAATGAAAGAGCCTTAAATTGTTCCAATGGTCTTTGTGTTTATTGTTTCCAGATCAAGGATACTGGAAGTGGTTCCTTGTAGCTCTCAGAGCTAAAGGAGGTTTTAATTGAAACCTTTAATGGTCCTGACTCTCAGGGCCTGGGAGAGAAACTGTATGAGAAACTGCACTAAAGGCCTGAGAACTTCCATATTTCTGTCTTATAATATTACTTGAATCCCAAATAGTTCTGTTAGCCCAAAATAATAGATATGGCATAATACACATTGATCCCAGCTGAGGAAAGGAGTTAAAATGAGCACAGGTCTCTTAAGGAAAGTAAAGAAGACACTTCTGAACAGGAGTGGGTTTAGGCATGTGCTTGAATGTGTCCCTCACTCGGTCCAATGACTGTGCAGCTTTAGGGTTTTTATGCTAGATTTCCTTTCTAATTTTGTATTATCACTATAGAGACAGTTTCATTCAGCCTTTCTGCATTGTGTGCTTACTGGAGTACTTATTGCTCTACTTTGTGGAAAAGGGGAGGCTCTGAGATTTCATGGGGTTTGTTCAAGGCAATATATAAAAGAAATGTATATTACATGTTTTATAATAAGAGTTGCAGTGCTGTCTTCAGTGGAGCTGACTGTAAGCTTGATAAAGAACCCCAGGTTTAAGAAGAAAGGTGCCTGTCTATAGGTATTTAAAGCCTGGAGAAGAAGTACTGTTTAGAGGAGCTAAATAGGATCAACATGATGAGACAGCTTTCCTAGAAAAGTACTAAAATGCTTATAACTTAATTAATTTATAATCTGATAAAGCAAATCATTTATGACTACATTATTGAGTATATCCTTGCTTTGATATCCATGATATGGAGGAGACTTGTTGTCTCTTCCATCATTCCAGAGCTGGTGCTACTGTGAGTCCCAGGCTGGCTACCTGGGGTGAAAATATCTATATAAAGTAGTAAATAAAAAGTGACAGAAGATCAAAAGTATTCTGTTAACATGCCAAGACTCAAGTCATCCAAGGACAATTAGGTCCATACACAACTTGAAATATGGGTGGTCATGACTGGCTGCTTCATTTATTGTGTTATGGATACGTTCATTTTGGTAGGGTGGCATTGGTTCATTTCTCTTGTGAATTAAGTTTTTGGGTTGTTAGAGGTGACGTGGGGTTGCAAATTTTGAGTGAAAATAATTCCATAAGTGGATCAACGGGAAGTGAGCAGCATTTAAGACACATTTAAATTGTAGTGTCACAGTGGCATTGAGGTGGTGCCTTTGCGGGCACTGCACAGAGTGTGGTCAGACACAGTCAGATGGGGCTGGATCCTGACCAGCTTCTGCTGCTCTTCCCTTTGTTTTCAGGGGTAGACTTTGAAATCCTGCTTTAAATTATTGTTATGGATTCTGGGAGGTGGCAAGAAATACTCTCAGGGCACTCGTGCTGGGCAGAGTGTGCTCACTGCTGTTGTGCCAAGGTTACTGTGCCAGGGAGAAGGGCCTTGAGAGGAACAGTGGAGCAGGGGCAGGTGGGGACACATCCCAACCATTTGTGGGTTGAGCTCCATCTGAAACAGAGCTATGAAATAGGGAAAGCAAAAAATGTCCCATTTCCTTATTTTTATTTCAGCTGCATTTAGGGAAACAGGACTCATTACGTTCCTGACGAGTGAATAAGGATTCATGGCTTCACCAGCATTTTAATTTGTCTTGAAGTAGCACAAGGGACCTAATATTGTGGTTAGTCACTCCAACCAGAAAGAGAGAACCCTATTTTTCATCTGATTTCATTGCTTCAGCTATCTTACCTGTATTTCCCAACTTCAGTAGTTGATCGCATTTTTCAAAAGAAAAGGGTAGAAAAGAAGCCTTTCCTTACAACCCCTGCTCTGTTCATGTCCTGAGATCATCCCAGTTACAGTCCTATTGCTGTTATTTTTGATTTCTGGACTAACATTCCTTAAGTTGAGGCCCATGACTTGGCTGTGCCTTTTCAGGCCTGGGCTTTTTCCAGAGCACATTGGTCAGTCCCATTTATGATGGCGGGTTTGGGATGTGTTCATGTGCACTGGGATCACATGGAAAATGTACGCCAGGGACATCCCAGAAAACAGTTGTAGGGATAATGTGGGTCTGGTCTGACAGAGGCCCTATTGCTTTTTCAGTCCCATCATTGATCCCCACTGTGAACCCATCAGTATCCTCAAAATATCCCTTAATTTTCCTATGAAAACTAAGTTACCTTGGAGTGCTCTGAATGCCTGTGAGGACTCAGTTGGCTGTGAGATCTGCTGGGGTGTCCCAGAAGTGATACAGAGAAACTGAGCTGAGGAAAGGGAAGAGAACAGGTAGCTGGAGTAGTGTTGGCCTGTTAAACATTCCCTGAGTAGTGAACTTTTATTTCATCTTTAACTTTGCAGGAATCATAGCAGGGATGTAACTGCAAGCTAAATGAGAGTGCTGGAAGCGTCATTTAATGAGTTACTAAGAAAAACTGTCAAGAATCACAGGTAATTTTTGGTCTTGCAGGAAGGACTGACACATTTTCAGGGTTATGGTCTTGAAGGGGCAAGAAAAGAGAATGATGTAGAGGAGGTAGAAGCCCTAATGTGGGAAGGGCATGGGATGGCAATAGGTTTTTCTGGGACAACTGCTAATTGATCTCAGATGCTTCCTTGTGTTGCCTTCTACAGTTGGTTGGTTGGTTTTTTCCATGCACAACTGGCTGCATTTTAGTGGCGTATCTTATTTAATTGTAACCAAAAAAAGTAAATTTTGAAGAGCACTTAAATATAGTGACTTCTAAGACTGAGGAATATTAACACCATTGCTTTTCTTTGATTTATGAGTAGAAGTATCATTGCAATGAGTTCTGTGGTAGCAAGCTGCTGTAATAAGGGTCAGATGCTCACATGCATCATCCAGTTGATGTAAATACAGATTTATTGTATTTACAATCCCTAGAAAGTTCAGAGAGTTGTATAATAGCAAGAAGTAGAGAGAAAAATCAGACTCAGGAAATACATTTTATCCTCTCAGAGATACCAGGTGAGCCCATCACAATGGGTGGAAGATGAAAGATAGAATCTGCATGTTTGGGATATTTTTATAGTACTACCAAAATCAGTAGGAGAACTGTTTTTATTCCAGAAGAGCCTTTAAATTCAGTCCAGCTGCAGATATTACTGAGGATCTTGCAGAGCGGGAGGATGTATGGAACTGGACTTGTCTGGAGCCTTGGCCCTACGACCATCACTTTATTGCTGTCATAATATTTCTCAGTGGGCCCTAATGAGTTCCTCTAAGAGAATTTTAAAGGTTTGCATCCCAAAGCTAGAGTATGGATTTATCTGAGCTAGGCTGGAGTCTCATTTTATATGGAATCTGTGCTCTGATTCATACAACAGGGCAGATTTTAGTGACAGAAAGTTACAGGGGAAAATTTTTTGGAGGACGTCTGGCAGAACAAGACCTTACTAAATAGGAAATATTCAACTTCTCTTTCTTTCCCACTATAGGAATTATTCCTCTCCTAATTTGGGCCTGGTAAAATGGGTTTTGCTTTGGATCCAGATAGCCTGACAAAAAGTGACTACTGTTTCATAAAAATGTCTCACTAAATGAAGTACATTCCACATTGTTTGTTCTTTTTTTCTCATACAGTGTATGGGCTAATTCTGCTGAATCATAGCTGGAAGAAAATGAAATTTAACTATAGGAAGAAAAAAAATCATACAAAATTTGATTAATGTGGAGGATGGCAGAGAATAAGAAGAATAAAGAAAATGAACATGAGAAAGGTAAGAGCATGAATTTTTATATGTCTCTTTATAACATAAGAAACA